ATGATGATGATGATGATGATAATGATGATGATGATGATGAGGTCATGATGATGATGATGATGAGGTCATGATGATGATGATGATGATGATGATGATGATGATGATGATGATGATGATGATGATGATGATGCTGAGGTCATGATGATGATCATGATCATGATCATGATCATGATGATGATGAGGTCAAGATGGTGGTGGTCGAAGAAGAGGAGGAGCTGACACCCGTGCAGTACCGCGAGCACGAGTGGAACTTGTGGTCGCGCTTCGAGGTCCAGGGCAAGGACATGACGCTGGGGGGTTTCCTGCGGCACTTCATGGTGAGCGTGAGGAGGAGGGAGGAGGAGGAGCTGACGAGAGCGGGGGGGGGGCAGGAGGAGTACAAGCTGGAGGTCTCAATGGTCTCGTGCGGGGTCTCGATGATCTACAGCACGTTCAGCCCCAAGGCGAAGGAGAAACTGACGCGGCCGCTGCTGGACATCGTGAAGAAGGACGCCAAGGTGGAGGTAGGGGAGCACCAGAGGTACCTGATGCTCGAGATCTGCTGCAATGACGAGGAGGGGGAGGAGGTGGAGGCGCCGAGTGTGAGGTTTGCGTTGAGTTGATGGCATGTAATCTTGATAAACGACATGTAATCTGCCCCCCCCTCCTCCTGCCGCTCTCGCGGCATCCCGGGAACTCCATGGTACAATGCAGAGGCTCGAAGACGATCGCAAGCTCTGCGGGCAAAGAATACGAACAAGGAAAACTCACACCCACGTACTCCCGTCTCCTCCTCCTCCTCCTCCTCCGTCTCCTCCGTCTCTTCCTCTTCCTCCTCCTCCTCCGTCTCTGTCTCTTCCCCTGCTTCCGATATCCAAGGAGCCTGCACGAAGTTGTCAAAGTTGCGAGGCAGTCGAACGTGAGGCAGGAGCAAGACAGTGCAGGAGGAGAGCAGGAGAGCGGGAGAGAGCAGGAGCGAAGGAGCAGAGCCATGGGCAGGGACATCGTTTGCAGGATCGTCAACCCACCTGTCCTCCGGCAAGCAGCAGGGGACAGCTGATGGTAGAGAATGCTCGCGCTTGCCGTCCGCTGCAGGGGGCTGGGTTCCTGGAGGGCTCGCCTGCTCCCCCTCCCCCTCCCCTGCCCTCCTCGTCCTCTCTGCTGACCCGGCAGGCTCCTCACCTGACGCTTCTGCCCCAGCCAGGGGATGTTGGAGTCCTCCCGCTTCATCTCCTCCACTGGGAGGCTGCTGGGGGCCTGCCCAGCATCCTGCAGGAGGTCTCGGAGCAGCTGCCGGCCCCCCTTTCTCCTCGTCCCCCCCGAGCTGGGGACGGGATACCCCAGCCTCTTCTCGATCTGCAGGCGGAACTCTGCTGGGACCTGGACGGGGTTGGCGACGTTCTGCATGCAGAGGGGGCACTGCTCGTGGGTCTGCAGCCACTCGTCTATGCAGAGCTTGTGGAAGGTGTGCAGGCAAGGGAGCATCCGGATCCTCTCCCCCGTCCTGAAGCCGCTCAGGCAGATCATGCACTCCTTGTCCTCTGAGGTCGAGCTGTGCGAGTCCCTCGGCAGCGCCCGCGGCTCCTCCTCCTCCCTCTCCGCCCGCTCGATGTCGAAGTTCAGCTCCCTCCTCACGAACTGCTTCTTGAACTGCAGGTACGTCGGGACCTTGGAACCGCGGGGAGGGGGCGCCCGGTCCTCGTGCCGCTCGGCGCTGGCAGGAGGAAGGTCGCCCGAGGAAGGGACGCGAGAGATCTGAGAAGGGAGGCGAGGGGAGGCGATGCTGATCTTGCGGAAACCGCAGGAGAAAAGCGCGGGGTTCCTGACGTACAGGACGACCAGGCCGCCGATACAGGAGGAGCCCAGGAAGATGAGGACAGGGAGGAACACGTCCTTGCGGCAGGACAACCAAGAGCCGCATCCTACCTCCTGCTGGAGAGACGCCGACACGTTGGTCTGCACGATGGCGGGGGAGACCTTGGTGATCTTGGTGGAGGTCAGGACGTCCCCAGCTGCTGAGACAGCTGAGAACTCCGCCATCTCCAGCTCGAGCTGGGTGTCAGCGAGGCCCCCGGTGAACTTGAGGGAGAGGATGGAGTCGTGCAGGTTTCGAAGCACGCTCATGGCCGTGCGGTCATCGGCGACAGGGGGGAAGATGAGGAACTTGAGGGTGAAGAGAGAGCCGGCAGGGCCCATGGCCTCGAAGACGATGCAGGAGTCGGCGCGAACGCCGTTGCTCGCAGCTGTCGACAGGCTGGCCCTGAGGACCTGCTGGTCCTGGTTGCTGATGCGATCGACTGGGCGGAAGGAGAGGGTCCCAACGACGTAGGAGCTGGAGGAGACGAGGGAGGAGATGTCAAGTGAGCAGGTGTCTGCGGAGGAGATCGAGCCGCCGGTGCAGAGAAAGCCGAACTCGACCACACACTGGTCCGAGCAGCCGTCGCCCGAGTACACGTTGCTGTCGTCGCAGAACTCATGGAGCTCTCGAGCTCCGTTGCCGCTGTGGGGAAGGAGAGTCAGAGGAAGGGAGAGCAGAGCAGATGTCGTTACCAGCGCGGCTGAGGAGGTCCCTCTATCTGATTGTAGATCGACGCGCTGCCGAGATTCCCTCCAAGCTCCACCTTGCACTTTGGAAATTGATCGGGCACGAGGCAGCTGGACGGGGACGGGGACTGGCACTCCAGTCGTCCAACGAAGCAGGCGTCCTTGCTGGCACAAGAGGTGGGCTGACCTGACGCGCAGAGGGTCTTGAAGTAGAGGAGGCCGTCGGTACAGACAGGGCCAGGGCAGTTGAGGAACCATCGGGTGTACCCCGGGGCCCCAAAGATGAGGAAGGAGCTGGAGATGGCAAGGCTCCTGCTGAAGAGATCCCTGCGGGTGACGTCGGACGGGCGGTAGCGCTTGTCGAAGGAGCAGCCGTCTGCCTGAAGTCGGACGAGGAAGGCGACGTTGTCGGAGGAGGATCCGATGAGGAGGAGCGAGCCGAAGGAGAAGTCGGCGACCGAGACGGACTCTCCGAAGGCTCCTGCGTTGAAACTCGGCATCATGACGCACTTCTCCAGGAACTGGCCCGCCAGCTTCTGCTGGTCCCACAGGTAAGTCAGTACTGTGACCTTGCCCGGGATAGTTGAGTTGCCCGGGGCCCCGATGGCGAGGTAGCTGGGGCTGAGGGACAGCGAGCTGCCGAAGCCCAGGGCCAAGAAGGTTCGAGTGATGGTTGTGTACTGCTGGTTGCAGCTGGAGCCTGCGGTCGGCGTGAATAGGGGAAGCAAGAGGAAGCGGGACCGGAAAATTGTGGCAAGTGGCGACCAGGGCTATGAAGCAAGAGATCAAGGGGCAGGCAGGCAGGCAGGCAGGCAGGCAGGCAGGCAGGCAGGCAGGCAGGGCTTGCTTTCTTCTCTCACCTTGGGTCTGTATGCACGTGTGCATGTTGAAAACCTTCACTGCCCCGGGCCTGTCGATGCCATCGTCGACGTACACGTCTTCATCCATCCCAGTCGGCGCCCCCACGATCAGGACGTGCTGGTCGTGGACCATGGCGGCTCCGAAGGACTCGTCCTGGTCCTTGTGCTCGAAGAAGGACGAGCTCCAGCTGTACCGATCGCTCCTAGGGTCCTTCTCCACAAAGTACAGGCGGAAAAATCCGCAAAACTTGGGCTTCTTGTTGGCCCAGTACATGGAAACCCATGTACCTGTCACAGCAACGGTCGTGCCGTAGACAGAAAGTCCTTGGCCGAAGCATCCTGCCCCTGCTCCCTCCACCATCCTCCCGTACGTGGCAGAGAAGCAGTACTCGCAGGCAGTTATGCACTCGGCCAGCCCGAACAGGTTCTGATTGAACAAGAAGTCCGTCTCCAACCAGGTGGAAGGGAGAGTGGGGTTGTCCACAGACCTCCACTTCGTCCCAGTGGCATCGAGGGAGGAGCTCAGGATCCTGCACTTGACCTTGCTCTCGAACGCTAGACAGGCCATGGAGTCGGACGCAGCTGCCGCGATTACCTCGCTGCTATCCGACAAGGTTGTCAGAACCGTCTTTTCTGCCTGCTCGTAGATGAAGGAGGAGAGAGGGTTGAGCCTTGCAAACCAGCCCCCTCCCCTTCCTCCCACAGCCATCAGGTCGCCTGATCTCCCCACGCTCAAGGCTGTGCCCAAACTCCCGACGTCTGCCTGCTTCATCCCACGGACCCGGAAGTCCATGGGAGATACTGGGCAGTCGCAGCCCTGGATGCTGCACTGACTTTGAAGGAGCGATTTGCAGGCGATGGACTCGTTGCAGCATGCCTTCTTGTCCCTCCCAAGGTAGTCGGGGATGACGACGAGCTGTGTCAGGGTCTGCAAAGGGAAACTAGTAAAGATAAAAAGAGCCAACGGCGCCGATTGCATTTCAATTCAGAGTGCTGCAAATCAACGGAAGGTGATATCAACGATGTCTTACAAGCTCACTGTGATCCAGATTCGCTCATTCTGCTCCATTATCGTATAAGCTGGCTAGATCATCATATCGACTTTGGGTGAGTCAACAAGTAATTTGATGAGGGTGAGAGCTATCTTTCAAACATCATCATCGGACGTGGATTGTATCAACCAGCACTTGCGGCGACATAGACTGCCGTGCATTCCGCTCAGTCCCACCATCCGCTCTCCTCCGCCATGAATCTTGACCCCGTCGTCTCCATTCTTCCGCCTCCTGCCATGGAAAGATATCGCTAGGTCCAAAGCCGGGTCCCGAGGCACCGGGGCCAACCCCTCTTATCCAGTGGTTGTACCCCTGCTTGTACCCCTACTTTGACTGCATTTTCAGGGGATCATGGGGGTACTTGACCTAACGCTGAGTGAGACCTGCAGACCCCCCTCCAGATTAAAACGAAGCTGTAACTGAAACCTCGTGCTACCCCTACTTTTGAATATTTCAATCACCCCTACCTGGCTTCATTTGTCAATCAGTCTGTAACCGTCCAACTTAGACCGACTCAACTCAAGTCCTCTAACTTAGTAAGATGATGGGCTGAACCTGCAAACTAGAGAAGTGCGGTAACTCTCTAGCAGCCGATCAAACTTGATTCGTACGGACAGTGAAACTTGCCAAGTTCTCAGTTTACTGAATGGCAGGCTTCATCAAGTTGGGCCACGTTGACGGGTGACGCACGGCCGCCGAGCACGAGGTAGGCCAGTTAACTAGTTCACGATCATGGGCCGCGCATGTACGCTGCTGCGGCTACAGCCTTGGATACAAAGAGGATCAGTGATGACGGCTGAGTGAATATTCAGCTCAGCACAAGCTCTTCCTCGAGACCCCTGCGCAACACCGTGAGTCAAACGGTCGAGACCGTGCCGTCAACGCAGCCTGATATGGACAACTCACCAGGGGAGAAACAGCTGCTCCTGCTCGTCGAAGACATAGCAAAAAGGGCTGCTGGGCATAGCACAGTCGTCCCGAGAGCTGCACACCCAAACCTCGTACCTCCCGAGCATCATCCACCGACCCAGCCCGCCTGAGGAGACGGTCTGGTTTCTTGCCTGCAGTCCCTCGATGATGGTGGTCCACGTCTCGTTCATACTGCAGTTGAGATACTCGGGGTGAATGGCCCACTGCCGTACCGTCTCGTTGGCATGTGAAGCATTCCCAGCTGGAGCGAAGGCGGTGGAGGTGGCGGACGAGTCTCGGGCGATATCTGAGGTACTTGGAGGAGACCCTGGCGGGGGCGAAGATGGAATGGGCGAGGCCGATCGGCTTTCTGTGCACAGAGTTTCGTTCATGCATGGTACTAGCCCGGAATCGTATGAAGCAATCGGAGGCCAAGACGAATGATAGCAAGGCAGGTTGTTATTGGACAGGCCCAAAAAGTTGAGCTGAGGCATATTGGCGAAAGCCTGGGAGGAGATGCAGGAAAGTCTGTTTTCCTGGAGAAGCAACTGCTGAATCGACGAGAGCTTGCTGAAGACTCCTTCTGGCAAGCTAGACAGAGCATTGCGCTCGAGATTTAGGTGCTGCAAGCCCGTGAGCCTGTCGAAGACTCCTGCTGGCAAGCTGGACAGCTTGATGTTGCTGAGAATAAGCTGCTGCAAGCCCGTGAGACTGTCGAAGACTCCTGCTGGCAAGCTGGACAGCATGTTGTCGCTGAGAACAAGCAGCTGCAAGCCCGTGAGCCTGTCGAAGACTCCTGCTGGCAAGGTGGACAGCTGATTATTGCTGAGAATAAGCCGCTGCAAGCCCGTGAGACTGTCGAAGACTCCTGCTGGCAAGCTGGACAGATTAGGGTACATCAAATACAGCCCCGACAAGCCTGAGAGCCCGTCGAAGACTCCTGCAGGCAGACTCTCCAGCTTGTTGTCATAAAGGGTCAAAGTCAGACCCGCGAACCTGTTCAAGGCTCCGGCGGGAAGACTGGAGAAGACACGGTGGTCAATCCCTAGCCCGGTAAGGCTCGGGACTCTGTCGAAGAATCCTGCAGGTAGATTTTCCAGCTTGTTGCTGATGAGATGAAGCCCCCGCAAGTTTGAGAGTTTGTCAAAGGCTCCTGCTGGAATACTCCGAAACGTGTTGTTACTAAGATTCAGACTGACCAGGCCCGAGAGCCCGCCGAAGACTCCCACAGGTAGACTCTCCAAGTTGTTGTTGTCGAGTTGTAAGTACATCAATGTCGACAATCCGGGCCCGTCAAAAGTTCCGTTGTAGATATTGCGTATACCCAAATCACGATTGAGAGCCAGAAACGTACAATATGAACCACAGTCGCTTCCCTCCCTCGTCAACAAGCCCTCATCTGAGACATGGAACGTACAGCTCCCACAACTCACGCTGGCTGCTCCCTCAGCCTCCCATACCCATCCCTCCAGCACCCATAAGAGCACCAACAGCGATGACCGCATGCTCCTCGTTTCCGAATCGCGTCACACACAAGGGAAGTTGGGGATTATGAATGGTTTGTTGACTAGCCTCCGTAAAACAGACTAGTAGCGGTCAACAAACTTTTAGTAGCGGGGCTTGTAGTTTTTTTAATTGTTTACAATACTAATGAAAAATAATTGTATAGTTTCCTGGTACCCGCCGCACCTGGTAATAATAGTCTGTACTGAGGTGACCGGATCTTTCATTATGACATACGAGTGTTGCACTCAGACTGTGTCCTCGAGCCTTTAAAATCGACTAGTACTGATAGATTTTAGCCTAGTAGTGCAGGGTAGTGTGACCCATCTCAGCTGGGGCAGTCAAAACTTAAATAATACATTTTACTACAGACTCCCGCAGAAAAATAATTTTACTAGTCATGATGACTCCAGCAGAGCAACCAATATTATAGTTTTAGAGTAGATGACTTGACAGCAGTGGCGGCCAAAACTCAACAATAATAATGACTTACCGGGTGCCAGCAGCCCCCCATTATTATTTATAACTTACCGGGTGCCAGCAGCCCCCCGCTCCTCCGGGCAGTCACTGAGTCATGCGCCGCGGCGGCTGGAGGCTCCGGGCGGACACTGACTCTGTGAGTTACCTCTTTTAACTCTTTACCGGTACTAAAGACCGGTCCGGCGAAGTTAACTTTGATGTGTAAACCGGCGCCGGTGAACTGAAAACCTGAGTCTCTTATAGAAGCCTACAGACTTTCATAAGCCTGACAGGGCCTGAGCCGGGGGACTCCGGACTTGTCCTGCGCGCAGTTAAGTGAAGGTATCAGTAAGTTTGGGCCCCCAGACAGCCGCTGAGTCACCCAGTGGTTGGTTCTCGCTGCCAGTTTCTCTTCTGGCCGTTTGGCCTGTGCGACAGTGTCAGGGTCAAGCCTCCTCGACCGAGCGAGTCTCATTATTGTCCCAGGCTCGTACTGATTTTTAACTTAACTTTGAGTAAAAAAATTCGCTGAGGGGACCGGCGCCGCCGGCGGGCCCGGGTCCGACAGCGAGGCCCCGGGCCCGGCCGGCCGGACCCTTGAGCATTCGGAGGCATCATCCACCCACCGACAGTCTCCTACTACCCCTACCCCTAAGTTGAGCTAAAAGTACCCAGTGTCTGCTATCAATAATCCCATTGATAAGTACCCCTACCCCTTGTCCAATCCTGTAGACGAAAACCGAGAGCCATGCCCAAAGGGTTTCGCACTCTCCTCCTGCTCCTCCTCCTGCTCCTGCTGGATCTCGCTGCTGCTACCCAGCTGCCAGCTCTTCTTCTTCCCATCCTTTCAGTTCTTCCTTGTCTCGCAGCCTTCGCTCCCTCGCTCCTCTCCACCGCTCGGAAGGCTGAAACTTGCTGGGCGCGAGAGCCTATGGGTCGTATTCCCTGCTTTCCGCGGCAAAGCGCGAGAACAGTGGTCTCGATGAGCTCTGGGGGAGGAGGAAGCGATGATGGATACACGGGCGGTGACGAACTTGCCATCCGTATGATGATATCCAGGAATAGGATGGCAAGACAGGAAGCGGAAGGGAACAGGGAGTACGTGCCATTTGACGTGGCTGTAAAATGGGCAAGGAAACTCAAGCTGTGGAAGACGAAGGAGGAGTGGGAAGAGTGGATTTCCAGGAACCAAGAGGCCTTCCCCTACATTCCTCCTGATCCAGAAGATTATTACAAGAAGCGAGGTGTATGGTTGGGTTGGTCTTTCTGGACAGGAGCTTCAGACGGCGATACGGATTCCTGATGATAGAGCGCAGAGAGGTTGCACTGAGAGAATGGGGAGAACGAAGCTATCAGAGAGATGGATGGAGCAAGAGAGGGAGAGGAAGGATGGGACATCCCAGGAAAAGAGGGCTGGATTATGAAGGCGAGCACAGAGGAGGAATGGTCAATCAAAGGGCGTCAGCGACTGTGATCTTCCCGTCTTGGGCACTGCACGACAGATGGTATCAGCACGGGATAGCAACGGCGGGTCATCACCAACCTGATGAGGGTGATACCATCGCCGGATGCGAAGAAGTTGATGAAAGGCTTCACGTCCTTGCTCACTTGGTTGAGGCGAAACCCTGGGAGGAGCCAACACGATTTCACGATGCCATGTCCCTCCCTCCCTCCCTCCCCGCCTGCCTGACTGCCCACCTCTCCCCCTTCCCTCCTTTCTCCCTGCTCCTCCCTGCCAGCCCTCCCCACCCTGCCGATCCAGCTCTCGGCCTTACATTCTTTGTTGTCGACGCAGAAGCGCAGGGTCCCCCAATCTCTGCTGCATGTGTCACAGACGGGTATCAGCCGGCGCATCTTTGACCTGTTGAGCTCCATCTTCACGATGGACCCATCCTTGAAGGAGTATCTGTGCTTCCTGTCGAGAACAACGTCACCTGCGCCGCCTCCCCTCCTCGTGGTAACGCACCGGAACTTCCTCTTCGTCTCTAGAGTCACGTCACCGATTCCTCGGATGTGGACGTCGAGCTGAGAAGTAACTATGAGGAGAGCAAGAGGGACGACGCGGAGTACCCGCTGCCCGCTCTCAGGCTCAGGTATGATCCTCTGTACAAGGGGGTTGCGTGCAGCGGCTGGAATCGTGTCATCCTTTCCTCTCCTTCTTAACAGGACACACCTCTCTGCGTGACGTATACGCATCCTGTGCTACACAGCATCCAAGCTGGAGATCTGGACCAAGAACGATTTCAGGAGGCACTCGGCCGTGAGGAAAGTGAGAGCAAAGATCTCAGCGACAGCAAAGGTCAGAAAGAAAGATCACGAAGAGCAAACGAGGGGCAAGATGGCCCTGCATGTACGATTGAAGCTGACTCACAAAAGAAATTTTGCGAAGCACTCAGCCGGGTCGACGGGAAATTCCGCGACGCCCTAAGGGAGGAGGTCGTCAAAGGTCGTCATACTAGCAGTTGGAGGTCCGAAGACTCACGATGTAACCCGTGCTCCTCAACTTATCTGCCAAGAGTTCATAGGGGAACAAAATCAAACTCGCCTCACTGATCTCCCCGTGGAGATCCCTCACCTATACGGACGGTCCATCGGCTGATTCCGTTCGTCATGTCCTTCCCCCAGAATGCTGCAGGGAGTCTCATCATCTCAGCTCAACGGAAACTCTTCAACGTCACCGAAGGATGGGAAGTTCATCTGAACCCTCTTGCGAACGACTCGTCCTCCCTTCTCCTCGTGAGCAAGTGACGAGCAAGGGGGCAGGCGGTCACCTCCAACATGTGAAGTCCGCGTCCCAACAGGTTGGGGTCGAATCGATGCTCACTGCATCCAGGTCAGCGGAGAGGGGAGGAGGATGGAGACAACATTGGAACAAGGTGCGACCCTGGAAGCTCTGAGAAGACCTGTCCTTGATGATCAAGAGGGGTGGGAAGGGGAGAGGGGGAGGGGGCGGAATGGAGAAGGAGTGGAAGAGGTGCGATCGATGTTTCTGAACGAGAAGAAACAAATGTTTTTGAACGTCGACAACCTTTTTCTCGTGCAAAGCCGCATCCTCGAGCATTTTCTGAAATCACCGAATCAGTTTTGAACCAGCAGGCTGTGCTTGTCAACCTTTTCCTTCACCGCCTGTTTTTCATCTCTCTTCGCCCACTTCCTTACCTTCCTCCTCTTCCAAACCGACAAATCACTTCCCAGCATTCGGAATGCAACCCCTTTCAGCAAACCTGTTTAGCCGATGACAACTTGACCCACTCTGACATGCTCATCCGATGCTTCAGCCTTTGCAACTCCTGCGGGAGAAATGCTGGTCAAACCGATGATACGAATTATGAAGCAGACCTGATAGCTCATGTCCCTGCCACCTTCCGTCAGTTCGTGGACACATCATCACGCTGCATTTACCTTCGAGCCTTTCCGATTTCATCTGCAGTCACGAGGTAGACAGGATATTTCTCCTTCTCCTGAGGCTTAATGATAGCTTGATCATAATCCTTGCCTCCATCACGAGTTTTGCGATTGTTTTTATCCTTAGCACCACGCTCGCTCGAGTCCTTCTCTTTGGAATCTGCTGATTTCCCATCCGGTTCTTCGGAGAGGGCTTCAAATCCTGGAATTCAAGTTTGTGAGAAAACGAGGAGCATCAAGCAAAAACTCATCACCGCTCATTTCCTCCGCGTCTTCTTCCTTCTTGAAATCTTCTAGCAGATTCCAACCAGCCGACTTCTGCTGCTCAAGTCGAGCCTCTGTCGCCAGCCCCCCACCACCTTCCGTTTCCCGCTCCCCGGGGATGCTGGTGAAGTCGCATGCAGCCCTGAATCTTGCCGCCTGTCGAACTCATAAGTCGCTTCCGCAGACTCTCATCGCAAGCTCCACCAGCTGCCACTTGGCCAGGGGAGTACCCAACGCATGCTTGGCGAGCGCCGCTTCAAAGTGACGCCGCTCGAGAAGTTTGCTCAAGTCGTTGCCGTCCACGAGGGTCATGAGTTGCTTTGCCTGTCATGCAGCGCTCAGCCATGGCGAGTAGCACAACACATCCATCATCAAGGTGTCACCTGGTCAGCATTGGCTGAGAGGCCGTAAAAGGAGAATACCTCCTTCACCCTTGACAGCGAAATGCCCTGTGCGTTCAGCTCCCCGTACTGATTGATCACCAGCTGCCAATTGTCCACCGTACTTCCACCCCTCAGCACCTCTTGAAGGCAGGGAGGCTGCTGCAGGAGGGGGCCGCTGCTCAGGATGAGGGGAAAGTAACGATATTGCCTCCTAGCTGGCAAGTTCGATCCCCCTCCAGGATAGAGCTGATCCGATAGTACAAGGGAGTCATCAGAGAGCTCGAGGAAGAAGAAAAAGTAGAGAACGAGGATGAGCATGCGATACCGGTCCCTTCATGCCCAAAGTTAGCGTTCCACTTGCATGCGCCTCCCAAACTCACATCACTGCCGTGCTCGGTTCAGGAAGATGAGTCAGCCGCCATGAGCACCTCTGAACGAGGCTCCTTCTTCGCATGCATAGCAACTATCCTCCTCCTTTCTCCCTCCTCCCCTCTTCCTGCATCGGTCTCTCCCTCTCTCCTCCCATTCATTCGCCACCATCCTACTGCTGCATCGTGACCGGACGCATATCGACCTTCACTCAACAATTTTCATCCCCTCATCCCCGCTCACACAGCCACCAGCTGCTGAGGCGCCACTGCTGCTGAGCGCGCACCGTGGCACCGTGCCACTGCAGGGCCGTGCCAGTCACAGGTCTGAGTCGGGCTCGGATCCTGACGACCGCGCGGCCTCTGATCGGCCCGCCGGGATCGGACTCGGAACTTCCGGGTGATCATCGCGCGTGCCAATGGGCCGCGGCGGCAGGCCCGACAGTGAGGCCTGAGTCCGACACTGGCAGCAGTGCGATCACCGGAATAGGCTGCCTATTCCGGCCGGCGGCCTCAGGAGTCGGGGCCGCTCTTCAACGCCCGGCCGGTGGACCACACCGCCGAGTTAGCGGCGCCCCGGCGGCGGCGTACGGTACGGCGGGCTCGTCACCGAGTCGCGTGAGACTCGACAACAGGCGTGCACGTGCATGTATTGAGGAAAAGGCTCTAGAACGCGAAGTCCTTCTCTGTTTCAAGCAGCTCCGACTCGGCAGGTCACAGGAATTGTATCCACTGATCCACAGCGGACTCTGTCCCATACCATTCGTACGTCTCGGGCAGGCGCAGGCTCTTGCCGGGTGTCGGAACGAACGCCTGAAACAAGAGAGAGAGCAAGAGAGTTAGGGAATAGGATAGCGATGTTGGGATCGCAAAGTGAACCGCGTGGTTGCAGTTTTCGATGATCACGGATCTGCATTCCGCAAGCACAGCAACCTCGACTGGAATCAAACCTTGCTGGCCATCAGCATCGCGCGACGGAGCAGAGACACCTTACCGTCTCCCTCTGTCTCAAACGCCTTCCCTGAGAGGGGGAAGTACCTTGAACGAGGCAAAACTCAGTCAAAAAATTGTACACTCCAGATGCAGAATGAGGGCCATACGATGCCAGCGCAACGATCTCTTCCAACTTGGGAAGCTCGTCAGCACCGAGGACTCCGCCTCCAACAGCAGCTCACCAGCTTGCTACGTCGCTGCTTCTCATCCCACAGCTTCTCCCCCACTTTGCTGATCACGTCCATAAGGCCCCTGGGCGTGACGGTCCCCTTGCCCGCTACCTGCGCCACCTCGTCACCAGTGTGGCAGCCAGCGACAGTCAGCATCTCACGCAAGTCACGGCACTGGCATCGAGGGGAAAGCCGTTGGGGAAGTTCTCGTTGATGTACGAGAGGAGCCCTCGCGTTTGATCCACAGCTGTGAGAGGAGCGGAGAGCATCGAAGGGGACCAGAGAAGGAGAGTCATTGGAGGCTCGGTGGGTCAGGTAGCAGGCCCACCTGAGACGATCGAGTCTTTCGGGGGAGGGTTATGTGGAGTTCCCAAGGTCACCAATGACCGGATCCTCTTCTTCGCCTTCTCCTCTCCGAGCACCTCGGCGATGTAGGAGCGCGCGACCCACCTGAATGCAAGCGGAGGTTGTAAGGACAGTTGTCAGCCTCCGCCACATGCTCAATCCTCACCCTCCAATGCTGTGGCCGAGGACAGCAACTTCAACGTCTACTCCGTAGTCCTTTTCCACCTGCTCGAAGGCGCGATCCAACGCAGAGTAGAAGAAGCCCAGGGTCTTGGAAGGGCGGAGGGATGCGGTGAAGAACTTGCCGGACATAGGCGTCATGCACAGCATGCATGCAAGTACTACTTCACCTCCTTGGTCAGGGTGGACGGAACAATCTTGAGCCAGTCGAGCCTGGAGAGAGGAGCAGGGTAAAGGTTGAAGCCTCGCTTCAGCAGCGTCTTCTGAAGATCTTCATAGTCGCGCTGGGTCCCGAACTGGGCAGGACAGAGAACCACTGGCTTGAGATTCTTCACATCAAGGCCCTCGGCACCCTGAATCATCGATGTTGTATCGACTTGAGAAAACAGCGAGAGTGCAGGTCTTTGAGCAATCGGTCGACTGCGACCGACAACGGGGAGCCGGCAGGAAGGAAATGCATCCGCCAGGTCACATCGTAGCAGGAAGAGCGTACAGGACAAGAGAATGAGCGGACGCGTGAGGCAGATACTCCAGGAGGAGTGTAGAACCATGTTGAGACTGATAGAAGAACTAGAAGAACTTTCGCTCGTTCTTGTCCCTCCCCCTCCCTCCTCCTACTCGTCCTGCCTGGGAATTTCCTGGGAGTTTATAACCTACCACCCCGCCCCTTATTTGCCACAAATGTACCCCCACCTTTCCCATGATGACTTGGTACCCCTACTTTCCCATCAAAATCAGTCCACCCCTCCCCATCCTCCCTATCCCTGGATTCACCCACCCCTCACCTTCAGATACACTGAGGAATACAAGGAGGTGGTAGTGAATTCCTAAGGTAGTAAAGAAAATAGGGGTAGTGAGTGTGCTGGTGAAGGGGGTTAAAGGCAGTAAACAGGTAGGGTATACTTACATTTACTTTGAACGCTGGGTGGGGTCCAACAACCTCCGCCTCAGAGGGCAAAAGCCGTTGGCGCATGGCGTTGACAGCTGAAATGGGCATGAATGCAAGAGGGGCGGGAGGAGGAGGAGGATGATGGGAGGAGGAGGAGGAGGAAGAGGAGAGGGTATGGAAAGAAGGGTAAGGAAGAGAGGAAACGATTGTATGTGTTTGGGCAGCATGGAGAGAGACAATGGGTGAGGGGAAGCAAGTAGATGACGACTGGGAGTAGGGTTGGAAGGTAAAGTGCAAGTGCAGGGGATGGGAGAGGAGTGGTTACAGTTTGATTATCCATAGCAAAGCTTATCAGAGAAAAATAGAGACGAGAGACTTTTCCTTCCTTGCCCTCCAAAATGATGTCACACGACGTCTGACTTGAATTTGATGGACAAGATGTCGAAGGAAGTTCTGATGTCCCGGCGTCCCAACGCCATGGATACCATCGATGCAGCGAGGTGATTTCTATTCGGCTCATTGATGGATCCGTCTCCCCTTTCTCGCCTCTCATACCTCATACCCGTAAACTCTTGTCTCATGTCCAAGATCTCATGTCTGGTACAATTCTGTGACATTGTTGGTTTGAAACTTGCAGAATCAGCCATGGAGACGTGTACAAGAGCGGGGGATATCAGCCTCCTCCCATCTCAAACTACAAGGGTGTCATGCTCTGCGATCGTCCTACGACAAAGGTTCCTCCTTGGTTCTTCTCCTCCCGCTTGCTTGTCCTCTGTCCGCGAGATCAACACAAATGCATGTCCTTCTCACAGTTTCATTCATGCAGGGAGGAGCTGGGAAGACAGCTCAATCTGATGGTGGGCCGTTTGCGTGCGCTGTGGGGCCAGGATCGAAGTACGAAGCACTGGGACTGAACCCCTCGAGGTAGAGAGCTGGGGGGTGGGGCGTGGGGATGAGTTGGGGCGTCAGGGAGCAGCGAGCTGCCAAGTTGGCTGCGGACAACAAAGTTCGACCTCGGGAGGTTGTTCAAGCTCTAGGAAGACCTTGCAGGCGCGCTGAAGCTGTTCCAGGGCAACGACTTCCTGTCGAAGCACAAGAAGTGGCTCTCGCAGCTGGGGAAGGCAAAGCAACAGAGGATGGAGGACGAGGCCATGGCCGTGCAGGTGCTGGCGGCGATCGCCCTGGGATTATGCGATGCCTGATGCTTGCGCCAGGGTGCTATTGAGAAGACCAAGAAGTTCAAGGAATATGCTGCGAAGCTGCGTGCGAACATCCGGGAGGCGAAAGATCAACATGCTACGGGTACGACACCGTTCTCTTCCTAACCCCCCCCCCCCACCGCCCCCACCAATTCTTACCTCCCCCTCCCCTCTTCCTCACCCTGACAGCAGTGCGCAGGCTACCTTTCGCAAGAGGCACTGGAAGAGCACACGCGAAGCTCGATGAGCGGAGCTTCATCGAAGAGATCGTCGCAACAGGGGAAGCCCCAGAAACAGAAGGAGGCGAAGAAACCTGTGTGGGCCCTGACGGAGGAGGTAAGCAGAGCTCGATGCCGGGCATCCTAGTCGTAGCGTCTCCTCACTTGGTACACTTCTTGCCAGGGCCTGGAAGGAAGGGAAGAGGAGGAGCTGGATGAGCTGCTCAAGTTTACCAACAACCTTGTAAATTGCTAGAAGATGAAATGGAGGATTTCTCAGAGTTTGCGGCAGGACTACGACAAGTTCATCGAAGACTATGAAGTGAAGAATGCGCTGACAGCGGTCAAGAACAGGATAGCAGAGCTTGCACAGGGCAAGGTGGGAAAGAGAAGGAGGAGGAGGGGAGAGAGGACGAGGATGGTTGACATCGTCCACAGGATCGGATAAGGAGAGCGGAGGAGAATGGGCAGAATGAGGAGGAATCTGCTTTGGATCTTAACGACTCGGGAAGCGAGTGGAAGGAGGCGTTTGTAAAGGTATGCCTCGTCCTGTTCTACACATACCCTTCCTTCTCCTCATGTTGTCACTGCAGGGGTGGAATGAGGCAGAGAATCCGGACCGTCTGAATACCGCAAGGAGCGATAGGACGAACGTGTCAAGAGTGTCGCAGGCGACGTAAGCTCCCATCCTTCTCGCTCTCCTCTTCCTCCAGTCCGTCCCACGCTGCAGCCCCCCCCCCCCTCCTCCTTCCGTTCCTTCTGCTCCTCCTCCTGCTCCACCTCAGCTTCCTATGCTATACTCGCTAAACCTTTCCTCTTCGTGCCTCTTCCTCTTCGTCTCACTTGGATTCCAGTGCTCGCTCGCATAGGAGCGCTGCTGAAGATGATGCTCAATCCGTGGCAGCTTCGGATGTTTCCGATCGCGACGTTTCCATGCAGGCAAGACCTTTCTAACCATCTCGTCCTCATCTTGTTTTTCTGCTTCCAATCAACTACTCGTCCTCTCCCTCCCCCACTTACCTCCTCCCCTGTAGCCCCAACCTCCATGTCTGATTCTTTTCCTTTCAAGGTTGCTGAGCAGATCCTTAACACATCGAGAAGCTTGAGAAAAGTTCACTCCACTCGCTCCATCCGAGGGATTTTGGACAAGAAGGCGGTCAGTATCTCCTCCTCGTTCTCGTCCATCCTCCTCCTCCTCCTCCTCCTCCTTCTCCTCCTCCTCCTCCTCCTCCTCCTCCTCGCTCTACCCCTTTCCCCTCCCCCCTCGCTTACCCTTCATGCTTTGCAGAAGAAGATTCAGACCCTCGAAACTGTGGGTGAAGACGTGGACATCGGCCAGGGCATCAATCCTCCCATCTCCAAGGTCTGGCAAGCGGCTAGCTCCCTTCTTCCTCCTCTTGACCGGCTCTCATGGCAGGTATACGATGCGGAGGATCAAGGGGTAGCAGCGGGTGGAGGAAACAAGAAGCGGACTGTCGATGCTTCCAACCTCCCCTACCTTCATAGGAACCCAGCAGTCTGAGCTCGCCCCCCCTAAGCCTCTGATATTGTTTCTATGCTCTTTAGTACCTCGTTTGCAAACTTCAATTGACTTGTGGATGAACCAAACTTGTACTTGCTCCTCAGTCCGAGACGTTGACTCTCTCGCCTCCCGGACTCGCCGGACTCCGGAGTCCCGGGCCGGGCCCTGGCACCGTGGCAGTGGCCGGCCCCGCCGCCGGCTGAGTGACGGTGGCCCGGGCCCGACCCGGGCTAACTTAGTTTTAGACCTAAACCCTGTGGTCCGACAATCGGACGCTGCCCGGCGGGCACTGCTCAGAGTTCAGTGACGTCACGCGGCTCCGCTCAGCCTGGCCGGCCCGCTAAGTCCGAGGCTGAGTCAAAGAGAGTCACACAGGCTTCGGAACAGCGTAGGGTTGAGAGGGGATGTGGGCCACCGATCTGTCAAATTCGCATCACGTCTTTAGTCAGGGAGAGGGGATGGCGAACAAGGGTTTGGCCGTGAAGCTGCTCATGGTGGCGGCTGCGGTAACCTGGCAGCCGGGGCGAGGAGCATGCGGCAAACGATCAGCGTGAGAGATGCAGAGGAGATGGAGGAGGCTGATCACTGAGACCTCGGTGTGTTCGCAGCTCAGCAGGAGGGACCTGCTACTCCTGCACCAGCGACTACGGTTGCGCATGGTGCCAGCAAGGGACCCTGTTGGGAACGTGCACGTCCATGTGGGCAGCCGATACGACAAGGCCTTCGCCGCAGACCGACTGCACGAAGTGGTCGTACACGCAGACTGAGTGCCCGGCCGTGGCTTGCGAGTCGCTGCGTACCTGCATGTCTTGCGTAAGCCCTGAAGTCATTCCTCCACTGTCGATCTTGACGGCATCCTAGCTCTCTAGCCCGATATCCTTTCAGAACGGGCGATATGTGGGATGCGGATGGTGCAACGGCACTCAATCATGCTCAGCAGGCACTTGGGCTGGCAGCTCGACTATCGCAGGTGCAGCAATCAGTTGTGTTTGTCGTCCCTCGTCGATCATCTGACAGAGAGGGCGATGCAGTTTGTAGCGGATCGAACTGGACATTTGGGACCGGAAGATGCTCTTGCTGTGAGTGACCCCCTAGCTTCAGCTCAGTCTGAAAACATTCTGCGCAGTCAAGGGCTGCGATAACTGTACAGAAAACGACTGCGGGTAGACCCACTGACCGTTCTGATGCGCATCAGGCACAACTGAATGCTCATGCTAACCACAAGTCCTGTGCAGATGGTGCGAGACGACAGGCACTTGCATGCAGGGAGCCTTGTTTGCGGGCACTATGGGTCCCATCCTCCCTTCGGTTGACTACACTGTCGTAGACCCAGTGCTTGCTGCGGTGCGTTAGGATGGCGCATGGGAGCGACGTGGGTTGAAGCATCTTGCAGGCGCAGGAGACACTGTGGAATCAAACGAGGACACACCACCAGTGATCCCAACCTGACATGTGGACAACAAGAGCTCACGCCAGAGATCGCTCAGGTGGGAGAGCTTCCGCAACGGCCCGGGCTATGTCAGTGTCGAGAAGACGATGTGTCCAGATTGGTAAGTCAGCAAACCGAACAGGGCTGGGTACAGCTAACATGTTTCAAGGTACTGGAGCTCTTGTCCCTGCGATTACTATGCGACGTGCGAACGCTGCTTGTTGAAAGGCTCCTGCAGGCCAGTGGGCGGAAATTCTCTCTCCTGACAGCTCACGTCACATGACAGTTGGTGTATCCCTCGGCCGGAGGCGACGAAGGGGCAGGGAGTCTGCATGCCGATGGTTGATGCTGTCAGAGAGTGTAGGAGGGACAGAAACCTTGATTGGGGATGTACCGATCTACAGTTCTTCTGATCCAGAACTGGGCAACTGTCCCAAGTGGCAGGATTTGATGTTAAGTGCATGATGATGGAATTCTTGTACTGTAATTCCCTCACGCATGTGTTGCCTGGTCTGTCAGATCTCATGGGACTGGAAAACCACAGATGAAAGGATGTCATAGGTATCAAGTAAATATTATTTGTTTTCTTAGCTCCTTGTTATCTGTACACCTCCGTTCCTTCCCCACCAACAAGAACGTCAACTAGCGATCCTTTGCATCCTAAGTTTCACAGCATTAAGACAGTCTTTCTCGCATTTCCGTTTGTGTTGTGTAGTTTCAAGCGTCAAGGAAAGTACTGTAGTCGTTGTATGTGTCGTCGAAATCGTTTGTCTCGAAACCATCCATGTAGTTGTAGAAAGAAGGATCGAGGTCGGTGTCATGGATAAAGCTCTGTATGAAGCACAGTCACAACAGAATCAGGCAAGTCCTCATCAGAGTATTACAGTAGGCTGCCCATAATACTTCACGTAGGGGTATCGGGCTTCGGTGGACCTCGTCGCTTCGTCCTGCGTTTCAAGAACCTGCAGCATGTCAGGTCATTCACCGACGTGCATGCAGGTGATGATGTGAGGGATGAGCATGAAGGGGAAGCAGCTCTTACATCCCCAGTCAGCCTCGGGTCGGGGACGTAAGGCATCCCCAAAGTTCCAACTACGTCGGGCTCCCCATCGTACTCCTGGTACACCTGCAGGAAACCATTCACGTTCCCCGCGGCTCCGTCAGCAGTGCGAGCGCTACCGGACTGTACCAGGTGACCCCGTAGTCCTTCAACCTCTGCATCCTCAAGGCTACCGGGTTTGGCCTCGCTTGCAACAGCACCTGCATTGTTCAAGGACAAGTCAGGGCATCGTCCTCCGTCCCTCCACATGATCCCTCGCTCCCTCCTTCCCCTCACCTTTCGCTCATCCCTCAGATCGGCATTCAGGGCTACCACAAGGATCACCATCATCCCCATGGTAGCCGCCGCGCCCATGAGCAGGCGCTGGTCCTGCCTTGCCATTGCCCTGGCGGCTGTTCGACTCCGTGCCCTCGTCCCCGCTCAGGAAATTTCGCCCATCATCCCACCTCCGACACTGTGACTCCCGCCGGCCGGGCCGGCCGCCGGGTCCTGCGCCGGGTCGGTCACCCGGGCCCTCAGCGGCGGGTCACTGCCAGGGCACCCCCCGGCCCGGGAGTCCCGGCGATAAGCCTGCTGAGTCGGAAACTGGCTGGAGGCTGGAGGCTGAGCCTCGGAGCCTGGGCCAGCGGCCTGTGCCTGAGTCCGGGGCGGCCTGTACTAAGCCTAAGTTCTGAGTTCCGAGTCCGGGGGCCGCCCTGCCAACCCACCGTCCGGCGGGCCGGCGCCGGGCCCGACCGTCTCAGGAGTCCCGGAGTCGCCGGACGCCGTCCGATCATCAACGGTAGTACCGGCTAATAAGCATGGGGTCTTGTCTTCAGGGCCTCTCTCTCTCTCTCTTTCCCTCTCTTCTCCCTCTTTCTTTTCTCCTCATTCTCAGGCTCTCTCTTCAGAGTCTCTTTTCCTTTCTCACTATCTCTTAATCTTTTTCTTTCTCCTATCCTTTCAGTCCCTGTTATCTTCCTATCCTTGCTCTACTTATAAATACTCTTATCTCTGAAGTCAATTACCTATCTGCTCTAACTTCGCTACTGCATACAATGACTAGCCCCCCGCCGGCCCCGGGCGAATCACGGCACTGCTGCCACGCTCGGATGATGAATCATCCGAGTCGTGTACCTACTATGGGCCGGGCCCATCATCACTCACCAGCGGCGTGCCCGGCCGGGCCTTCAGCTGACTCACGGCGTCGCCGGGTGCCTCACGGTGGGAGTGATCGAAGAGTCAGGTTGATATGAACTTAATTAACTTCATTCACTTGTCCAGTCTCCGCTCCTCCTCTCATCCGCTCCGAGAATAATCAGCTGAAAAAGTTCCTCTGCGCTGCAAGGCCGAAGGGAGAGCCTCCCTGCCCGCCAGCTGGGAAGCTGCTCCTGTTCCTCACCGCGCTGGGCGTGACGGCGTCCAGGTTGAGCTCGACCTTGCCGCCGGGCAGGACCCCACCCCTCTTGGTTGACAGGGTGTCAACGTACCTTGAGGAGACCGGTCATGTGCAGAACAGTGCTACATCCTCCTCCTCCTCCTTCAATCCTCCTCCTCCTCATTTTCTATCAGAAGTCTCCTCCTCCTCCTCCTCCTCCTCCTCCTCCTCTCTCCCTCCTCCTCCTGCCCCTCGTTCCCACTCGTGCTCCTTCTCTACCAGAAACCTCTACATTCTTCTCCTCCTCTTCCTGCTCCTCCTCCTCCTCCTGCCGCTTCGTTTTAACATGTCTCCATTTTCTACCACAAGCCTCCTCTCCTGCCTCCTCCTCATCTATTTCCCGACCTCGTCTTCTCCCTCCCTCTACCTCAATCTGGCGCTGCTCTGATCGCTCGAAGAAGAATTCCCTCGAGGTCTTGCCTTGTTGCTGACGGCCCTGGAGGAAAGTGAGGGCGCGAGCCGACACACGACCATGAGAATGAGGAGGAGGAAATGAGGAGGAGGAGGAGGAGGAGGAGGAGGAGGCGAGAGGAGGAGGAGGAGGCGAGAGGAGGAGGCAGAAGGAGTAGAGGGAGGGGGAGGAGGATGGGAAGGTAGTGGAGGAGGAGGAGGATTAAATCATAGTGAATGACCTGAAGGACTCCTCGTACCCGAAATCGTGCATGATGGGAGGAAACGAGTCAAGACTGGGGAGCATACAATCAGAGACTCTTCCCCTCCTCCCTCGCAGAAGCATGCGGCCTACCTGTCCCCGTTGTGAGCCTGGTCGGTGTACACATGCAGCGATCGCTGGTTGAGTCGCATCTCTCCTTCTGACATCCTGAACTGTTCCAAGAGTGTCGGACGAGGGGGAGGAACAGGAGGGACGGGGGAGGACGAGGGAGGGGAGGAAGAGATGGAGGTTCTAGAGGGTTTAGGAAGAGGAGGAAGGGTGAGGGGCGGGGAAGAGAAGGAAGGGCGGGAAGCAAGAGGAGAGCAGAGAGGGAGAGGGGGCAGAAGGAAAGGACGAAGGGGGATGGGCTTGTGAAGAACCTGATGCTTCCTCCTCTCCTTGTCCTGCTCCATCTGAATCCTTAGCTCCTCCCTGTAGCTCTCCTTCTGCTGCTGCCTGTCCCTCTCGCTCCTCTGCTGAGCGAGCAAGGTCTGCAGGTGCGAGGTTGGTGCGGAGTGAAGACGGAGGCAGTTTGTTTCACCTGCTGCTTCTCCTGCTCCAGCACCTCAAGCTGCCTTCGCTGCTCGACCAGCTTCTGCTCCTCTTGCCTCCTCTTCCTCTCCTCGATGCTCTCAGCCAGCGTTTCTCTGCAGGTTCCCGTTAGATCAGGCGGAAGGAAGAGGAGGAAAAGGCAGAGGACAAGGATGAGGATGAGGATGAAGACGAGGATAAGAACGAGGATGAGGATGAGAGAGGAGTAGAGTGAAGGACGAGGAGGAACAAAACAGGAGCGCATGCATTCGGAGTGAGACGGAGGAGGAGGAGTGGAGGACGCGGGACGAGCATCCTCCATTTTGCTACCGATAGTCGGCCTTGAGCATGCTTCTCTCTCGCTCCTTCCTCTTCTCAAGATCCTTCTGCTTCTCCTCCCATCTCAACAAGTCCTGCAGGAACCTGGAGGAGATTTCAGGGCTGACCGCGCTCGCAGAGAGGAGGAGGAAGAAGATGGAGGAGGGTAGGGACCGCACGTGCTGAGGAAAGAGGAAGGGGAAGGGGAGGGGGAGGGGAGAGTGCAAGGGAGAGTTGGAAAGCCCAACAGAAGTAGGGTAAGGAGATCTCGTGAGGGAACCTCTTCTCCTCTTCCTCTTGGATCTTCTTGTTTTTGTCTGCTCCGTCGCTTGCAAAGACCTCGAGCCGCCCGATCCTCTCTCTGCGCTTCTCCTCCATTTCTCTCCTCTTCCTCTCATTCTCGTCCAGCATGATGGCATACTGCAGTCGACCTCGATCAGGGATGGGCAGGAGCAGACAGGAGGGAGACGCAAGGGAGGGAGGAGAGGGAGGGAGGAGAGGGAGGGAGGGAGGAGAGGGAGGGAGGGAGGAGAGGGAGGGAGGGAGGAGAGGGAGGGAGGGAAAGAGGTTAGGGGAGATAAGGAAAGTTTCAAGTACAAGGTGATAGAATAGAGGGAGCCAAGCAACGTGTCTTATCTTTCATCTCGTTAGATTTTAATGAAACAAACTGTCTTCCTGACACGAATGACAAAAACCTCCATAAAGCGAGAAAGGGAGAAAATTGAGAAACAGACAAGACAAGACAAGACAAGACAAGACAAGACCAGACAAGACAAGACCAGATCTGTGTCTGTTACATGCTCCCTTCGATCGTTATGTTGAACGAGCGCTTGATAAGCTGTGAGTAGGGATCGACAGCGTTGTATGCTCCTGGCCCTGCGACCGCAACCCGTCATGGTCAACCTCCTTCACCCTCACGCCCGCACCGGGTGTTGCCTGCGCCTTCATCGAGAACCTCGGGCCCGCTCCGAAAGTTGCCTGGCATGAGGCACTCAGAACGAGGAGAAGGAAGTAGATATGCAAGGAGGAGGTGGTGGTGGTGGTAATGTGGTGGTGGAGGTGGTGGAGGAGGTGGTAGAGCAGGAGGAGGAGGTGGTGGTGGTGGAGCAGGAGGAGCAGGAGGAGCAGGAGGAGCAGGAGGAGCAGGAGGAGCAGGAGATTGAGGGAAGGAAAAGAGGGAAAAGTTTGTCTTACAGAGGTCAAGTCCTCCCCTAAAAGTGCTTTTCGCTTCTGAAGCTTCTGAAGCTCGCTGTTGAGCTGCACAACAAGTCACCAACCCTAATTGAGTTGAGGAGGTGGTGGTAGTGGTAGTGGTGTTGGGAGGGGAAGGGGA